AACAAAAATTATGTCCCACATGAAACTTGAGACTAAAGATATTAAAGAAGTAATAATATTAATTGTTTGGTATCATTCATTTAATTTAATGACATTTCCATAATAACATTATAAAATTAATATAAAATCATTTCTTGTATTATATAAGTGAACATTTTGATCTCACAATAAGATTTATTATCATGAGTGGTAACTAATCATGATACACTTCAAAGTATGACAGAGTGATATTGAAGCATGCAATGACGTTATTATGATCAAAGATTTGATCGATTCAACAGTACTTCACTCAAAATGTATATAGCAAAAGAGTTATTAATGCTGTATTACCCCATATAATAAATTTTTATCCTATGTCTATACTTCAAATTTATATTAAAAACTTTATTTTTAACAAGACTATAGTAAATGTATACTTAAGACTAATATAATATGATATATATTTTTTTTATATTCTGTCCCACATGATCTTTTTTTATGAAAGAAATAATTAAAATTCCATTTGAGACATAAAAGTGACCACTGGTAGTGGGCCTTAAATGCTTATCAATAGCTTATTATGCTCAGAAGACAATGAAACAACTTTCTTTGAGTCACAATAAATTAATTCATAACAATCACTATTGTAAAGAATACTCCAGTATTTACATAAAGAAACAAGACAAAACTTACTTAAAAAATATGAGAATAAAACCATTTAACAAGATACCTATAATGTTTATTAATTTTTATATTTCATAACTAGTCTAACCATTAATAATTTTGTATACTTAGGTATTTTAAAGCTATATAGTCAGGGAAATATGAACTATATTAATGCAACTTAATATACTATTTCGCTTACATAAGATAATTTCTACACAAATAAGTAACTTTCAACAACCTTTCAATGTTTTTGATCATTTCTCACTGTAGTTGTAATATTCAATAAAACAGACATAGAATCGTTATTCCTGTTAAATATAAACTATTGCTAATTATGATTCATATAAAAACATAAATACTTAGTCTTAAACAGAAGTTAATCAGTGGTTCTTACAACCCAGACCTAAAAATTATGCAGAAGTAAGCATTTTAATTATTAATTAAAGTTTTTATACTAGAAATATATCTCTTAAATATTATAAGTGAATAATATGTGTTTTACATGTGATAATTGGACTTTTTATAACAAACGCTAACTATTTTAATTGTCATTTCTATAATAAAGAGCTAAATAGGATGTAGTTACTTGCTGAGTAACAACTTTATAAAATATAATTGTTGGGAAGGACACAATTAAACACAAAATTAGATTGTTCTTACCTACGTACTTGTTAGATACTCTCTAATAAATATTGAAACTATTACATTCAAATCAGGTTAATAATTCAAAAAAAAAATCTAATCACATGAAAAAATAGCTTCAGTTTAAAAAACTATATACTAACAGTTCTACGGTATGGAAAAGTTTATTTCTTCTAGTTTTTTTTATTAAAAACGTAAGTTCTCAATTTAACCTAGTTAAAAAAATACTTGAATACAAACCAATAAACATTTACACTAAAAAAAAAGTAGTGTTGGATGAGAATTCGTTTAAAATATGATTATAAAAATTCCTTCTTGTAAATTAAGACTGAAAATAAACATAAGTTTCAGAATTGTGAAAGTCTAAATATAGTTATATTACATAATTAATGATGAGAATTTTATGCATTTTCTTAAAGTGCACAATTTGTAAAAGAAAATGTATTTAGGTTGCAAAACAAGAATTACTTAGTTAAGCATAAATTCAATTTTACGTGCACGCTATATTTAATTTATGTCAAGGTAAATAAAAACAATGTATAATAGTTCATAGGAAAAATAAAGTTTCACTCACCCTTTCCAAAATGTTTCCCATATAAGTGCCGTTATAAGAAGAAACTTTTATATTGTTGCATTTAAATTTATTAAAAACTCAAAACGAATATTTATTAAGTAGCGTATTTTTAATACATACTGATATCTTTAATGCACTTTGATTTTTTTTCTAAATAAAATTGACTGGCTTTCTACTGACAAAAAAAGAGCACTGGGTCACTGTGATCACTGATAAAATGACACTGGTACTCGCTCGCTTGCTAAACTGTTATCTCAATGCAAAACCTAACTTTTTGTTGTTTCTATCTCACGTTTTCCGTCATCCTTGTTCACTTTTGATGACTTCAGTCGGGTTCGTCAACTTTTTTCGGAGTATAGACTACAGTGCAATCACAGACTGTAAAGAAAAAGTATGAGTATCAAAAGGAATTAAAATTATTGTATTAATGTATTTATTTTATGTGTTACATTAAAGAAGATGTATAGAAACATTTATTTTTATCATAAGTTATTCACAATAAAAACTTAAATATGGCAACAATCTGCTAGCCTTGCCAGAGGTCACTGCATAAAATTGAACTGTCATTGTCAATAGTGACACAGCATCTCAGCTAAGCGAGTATTGACTACCACTTATTCGCTCCGAGTAAAATGAATAAATAATTTAAATCACTGCCGGTGATATTCTATGTACGGCCCAATAATAGTAATTTAATTATTGAATGGAAGAAAACAATTCAAATAAGTTTTTTTTGTTGTTAAATAAAATATTTTTTACAAAAGAAAAAACGCACCGTCTTACACGTACGTAAAAGCCCACTTATTTCGTTTAAAATCAATGCTTAATTGAGTATAATCAGCTGCTTATCAAATAAAAGTGGGTTATTATAATATATTAAAATATTAATATACATATATCCATAGGAATTCATTACTTTTAAAAGGACTTTAGAGAAATAGCGCCTGTCGTAATAAAATAGTTATTACGAAATGGAGGGGTATATTTTTTTGGAAAATGTCATTTGTATTAGGCCCTAAAATATTTATGATAATATTCCAGGTCATGATATAAACATAAATATAATAAATACAAGAGAAAAAAATAATTTCAACTGGTGGTTAAAAGATAATCTTCGAGGTCTAAGTGATTTCATTACAATCCAAGAAAATTACGTACTTGAAAAGAATTAATACAATACATGTTTAAATTCTAGAAAATTTGTGCGAAAGAATATTTTCTGACAAAGCTACATTAATTAGGTACATTTTCTTTAATAATTTACATAAAAAATGCAAATATAGACTAAAAAGACATTATAGGTAAATAACATTTAAAGAAGAATAAAGAAAAATAAAACCGTAATAAGTAACAAACAATGTTAATATTTCACCAACTAAATAAAAGTTAAATTTTAAAATATTGTTTAAAAATTACCTTGATACTTAATCTTAGCCATGCTAACAAACCTTTTTGATTCATCACAATCGGATAATAACTAACAATATTAAAGATGTCCAGTCATTGTTAAAACAATAGTGTAAATAGTTTAAAATACACGTAATAATTTCATAAATCAGACATAACTATTATTTGTAATTGGTGAGAATAAATAGTAAGTGTGTTATAAATTATAATACTGGGTGGCGCAAAAGTAAAGACCCTATTTGGTTCAGCTATAACATTTTTTCTAAATGAGAAAACTAGATTTAGGTTTTTTTTATTGTATATTTGTGTCATTAAATTTCGTACCATTAGGATTTAAAGATGATGTCTTTTAAATGGTGACCTCCAGAGTTGATACACATTTGAGCCCTATTTATGACATTTTGCATAATTTGCCGTAACACTTCCTGCGATATGTTCGTTATTTCTTGACGAATGTTTTCTTTTAGAGCTGCGAGAGTCTGTGGCTTGTTCACATACACCCGAGATTTCAAAAAACCCCAAAGAAAGAAGTCTGGACTGGTCAAATCGGGTGATCTTGCAGGCCAAGGCAAATCGCCAAAACGAGAGATAACTCGGCCTGGAAAAGCGTCCCTCACTAAGTCCATAGTGTCGCGCGCTGTGTGTGCCCTAGCGCCGTCTTGTTGAAACCAGATGTGCTCCAGCCCCAATTCGTCCAAACTGGGTATCAAAAACTCACGTAACATGGTTCTGTAGCGTTCTCCAGTGACAGTTATCGCATTGCCTCCAGCGTCTTCGAAAAAATAGGGTCTGATCACTCTGTCAACACAGATGCCACACCATACAGTAACTTTTAGTGGGTGTAGAGGTGTTTCTTGAATAATGCGCGGATTATCAGTGCCCCAGAACCGAGTATTCTGCTTATTGACATGCCCTGAGAGATGGAAATGCGCTTCGTCACTCATAACCAATTTTGTGTATCAACTCTGGAGGTCACCATTTAAAAGACATCATCTTTAAATCCTAATGGTACGAAATTTAATGGCACAAATATACTTTTAAAAAAACCTAAATCTCGTTTTCTCATTTAGAAAAAATGTTATAGCTGAACCAAATAGGGTCTTTACTTTTGCGCCACCCTATACAACAGAGCATCAAAGACAATGACAACGTCGACATTCTGAAGACTTAATTTAAATATTCATAAATTATATTATCTACTCATTTTTGTCTCAGTTTTCTTTTTATCGTCTCTGTTTCTTTCGATGGAGTGTAATAATGAGTTTTATTATTATTTAAATTAGTAAAGTATTACAATAATGTCCTAATATGTTGCTATGTTATACATAGATATATATAAAATTAAGTATTTTCCTAAGATAATACTGATACGATACCAATAAGTAAATTATATCGCTTTATGGCGGCAATAGTAATTTTATAGTGGTAATTATAATTAATAGCTACGTTATTTTGCCAGTGTAGTATCAGGCATTGACGAAAGAGCTTTACTGACATCGCATTTTATGGTTATTTTGATTAAATGTAAGTACATATTAATCAAATTAATTTTTAACGTTATTATCACAATTAATATATGACATATTCTAAATTAAATGTTGTATTATTTATAATTATATCCTCATTATAATGTATTGAACCTCATTAAAAAAAAAGACACTGAATTTCATTTATGTCAAAACGACAAAAAAAATTACGTCACGAGTGTCGGATAGCAGTAAAACTATTCAAAATGAAGCCGAAGGAAAACCCCAATGAATTACCTGTTAATTTATCTAAAAATCAGATGTCGGTGAGTTTTTCATCTAATCAATCAATTACCTACATATTTTTATTATTCATATGAAGAGTATTTGAAAACTTTAGTTCTATTGTACAGAAGGGTATGTTTTCATCCTTTTCAATATATCTATATATAAAATAAATATGAAATATCATAATACAAAAAACATTGTATCACAAATGTATAATATATAACAATGGTTTTTAGTAAAATTATAGTTTATATGTATTATATTTACATAGGTATATATACCTATTTTTTATGATACATGAGTGTTTCATTATCATGTAAAACGAGATTCCTTGACACTTCTATTAGAAAGAAATTTAACAAAATCAGTAACTCTTACGATATTATTCAAGAAGCAAAGTTGAAATAAAAAAAGTAAACAAAAAACTGATCGCTTTGGAACTTTACAGTTAAATGTAAACAAGCTAAAAAGTAAGTATATAATTTTAATATTCTTTTAAACATAAGAACCGCATTTAACGTTACACGTAAACTAGTACTATTCACGTCGTTATTGGAAGCAAAATGAGATGCACGTGGCATGAGCACACAAAATTTAGGACTTTTGTAATGGTTTTGTCAACGTATTAGCTATGAAAAGCTCGTTAGTAACGCGAGATAATTTGTTAATAGGGCCCCTGATAAGGGACCCCGCTTAATTCTTTATTTTGTTTATATTTCATTTTGTTTTTATCTGTTTACAAAATTCATTGTAATATATAGCAGTCGTCGGAATTTTAAATTCATAAAATGTATTTGATACCTAAAATATTACTTAAATTAAGGAGGTTATTTTAAAAAATGTAATAATATTGCGTGTGAATTACTTTAATAAACGTATTTCAACACGTTAGTCCCAAGCTTGTATTTTAAGTTTTATGAAATCACCATTATTCATCAATACCAGCTCACATGACTAACCTTAGTGACGAGCACCTCTTGCTACTAGAAGTGACTATGTTTTATCAAGCATTCGTCCCATTTATTTAATATTTCTAAACAATATTTATCATTTAAAATCGTGTCGCTCTATGTGGTGGTCGTACGTGAATTTATTATAAGAATACTCTGCGTCTCCATTTACAAGTTATAACTAGAGCCGTGTATGGTTGTTTCAGAGAATGAAGTCAAAACAGTTGAATTCTAAGAGAACTGACGACTTTACTCCCCCCGATGGAGGCTGGGGATGGATGATAGTTGTAGCAGCTGGGTTTTCTAATGTAAGTTTATTTTATTATTATATTTATTAACTTAACATTAAAAACATGTTTTTATAAATATGCCGACGAAAAAAAACGCTTCAACTTACTTTTCATACAACACATACATATGTATTTTTTGCAAAACATAAACTAAACATTTTCAATTATTGCGATCATAAAAATATTTTATATGGACGTTGTAAAATAAGTGAAACAATTTCAATAAAAGCATATTTTTCAAGTAAATTACTTAACTTTTTCGAATTTCAAAGATACTAAGAGTATAATTACCATTGTTACTATTTAATAACTTAAATAGTAAATTTATTATATGTATATTGAAGTTTGTTTAAAATTATATTGTACTAGCTTTCCGCCCGCAGCTTCGCCGCGTGGAGTTCGGTTATATCGCGTTTCCAAGAGAACCTTTCAAAAGTCTGGGATAAAAACTATCCTATGTTCTTTCTCAAGGTCAACTCTATCTCTGTACCGAATTTCATTAAAATCAGTTCAGTGGTTTAGGCGTGAAAGCGTAGCAGACAGACAGACAGACAGACAGAGTTACTTTCGCATTTATAATATTAGTAGGGATTGTATGGTAATAATTTTCTCTTAATTTATTGGAACTAACCTTGAAATCATAAAATTGATTTATGTTAGGACATCAATATTATTAATTTATAACTGTAGATATAAAATGCATTCATAGGTAACGTGTATAATCCATTATCAACCTTATCAATCATTATCTACTTAGCTAACTAATAGAATCAATAACAGTGTCAGAGTTTGTACATTTAGGAACAAAATGTATCTGAGATGGTTTAACTAATTTGTGCAACTTTTTCTTCTATGCATTATGCTCTCTAACTTAAATTAAACGATTGAAATTGATTAAAAAAACTTCAACTGATTCATTGTTTCAAAATCAGGAAGAAATACAATGTTATCTTTGTTTTCGAGTTCATTTTGTTTCAGGTTAATTTGACACGACTTTATCACGTCTAGTGTTTAAGAGATAAAAATTAAAGTCAAGGATCAAGCTGTGCTTACAATTTCGATGTTTTATTGTTGCCGTATAATTATTTTTTTTATCAGTATTGTAAATTAGGTCGAGCATAATAAAAATAACATTGATATTTTGTACTCCGTAACTGGGCAGGTTAAAATTTTTCATGTATTACTTATTTTAATAAGTCTTATTTTGGATTTTAGTCTGGGTCTAGGGTAAACAACAAATATTATTAAATTAAACAATATTCTGGACTGTAACTATAATAATTCTTATTAGGGACCTTAATAGGGACGTACAGTTTGAAATTTGTAGGTCGGAATGAAAAAAATATTTCCTTTTATACGCTTGAATAAGACGTTATTAATATATGTTATTCACAGATTTTTAGTATTTTCCGTAATTTTCGAAAAATATACAAATACAAGACAGCAATAAATGTAATCTATCATTAATTTTAATATATCTAAGATAGATATTTATTTGCGTTAACACTTTTCAGCTAGCAGCGCTGCCGACCTTACAGCAGTTCGGTCTGCTCTTTCGAGACAAGTTCGCAAGGTTGGCCATCACTAGTTCGGAGACTACAACAATCATCAACATGCACTCCGCCCTCAACTCATGCGTCGGTGCGTGACGCGATGGCATGGTAACTTTGAGACCATACCCCAAAAAGATGTATACTGTCATAGTAGCTCTAGGATATGTAGGCTTTTAAACTAGTTAGATTATTATAAGATAAACATATAATATCAATAATTTCAATTGTAGCAATCACCTAATTTCAAAGGTAACGTCGCCAATGTTAGGTACTCGTATTTCTTTTATTGCGTAGTGTATCTATCTACATTCAATATAATAAAGCTGATAACTAGCTAGTTATTGTTCTAATTACGTATCTCGTAAATAATTTGGTCACCTTTTATTCTAAATTATATCTAATTCTGCCATTTAATTCAGGATCTTAAGAATATAAACAATGTCAGATAAATATGTTGAATTGCTTTATAAATATGAATGTTTTTAATTAATAATTGATAAGAGGCATAATCTACAAAGTATTTTACCTTCATGTATAGTTGAAACTCACGTTTCTTTTATTTTATTTGTTATAGAACAACAAACCTAGTTGTTATAAATAATGAATCACCAATCAAAACTACGCTACCCTTTTGAATGACTTCTTTTAATAACAAATAAAAGTAAATTTAATATTAAAGCAACAATTTTTAATAAATTTATGACTTGTTTTTTTTTAGGTTTAGCGAATGGACCGGTCTTCAAAACTTTTAGTTACCGTCAAGTTTCTTTGACGGGGGCCATCGTTGTCTTTATATCGTTGCTTTGTACTACATTCTCTTACAATTTCGTCACGTATTTAATATCCATATCGATTCTGTATGGTAAGTTACCAGAAATACACACTACACTTTGATATTTGCAAAATGTTTCAAATAATCAACTATTTGTCACTACTATTTCAGGAGCTGGTTATGGAATCAGTAGTTCCGCTAATGCTCTAGCCTTAAATACTTACTGGAAGGAAAGACGCCGGCTAGCAACTGGTCTTTCATGGACCGCTACTGGCCTGGGTCCTATATTATGGCCTCATATCATTACAGCATTATTTGCAATGTTCGGTGAGACAGGAACAATGTTGCTTCTATGTGGATTTTCATTACACTCTATCGCGTGTGCGCTTCTCCTTCAACCAGTAGAATGGCATACAAAACCAAGAGATGCAAAAGATAAAGATGCTGAAATGTTATTAAAAACAGAACACAAATCAAATACGATTGATGAAAACAAGAAAGACGAGAGTGGTTATTTCAGCCAGGTATCTAAAATTAAGAATTTAAGCCTATTTTCTAGCCAATATCTTTATAATGAAGATGATCCCGTAACTCCAGGTTACGAAATAACAGACCCTGGTGTGCCTATGATGTTACGAGCAAATGACGGTTATTACAGTCAATCTAGACAGTCAAAAAGTAAGATTTCGTCTAGAGATGGATCAGCAAAAAATTCCACATTAAATTCAAAAAAGACATCCATGTCAAATTTAGTAGAAGATCGATCTAGGAAATCTTCAACTTTGTATTTAAACGAGTCAAAAAAAAACTCTTCGGCAAATTTAGGAGCTTTAGCACAGGAGAGAGACACTAAACAAAGTAATAAGCCCAAACGAAAGACTTCAATAACTATTAATACTCAGATTCTTGAGTCGGAGGTAGAAGACTGCCCGACACTCAAAGCTCCCCAAGATTTAAAGCCCGATGAAAAAGTTGTGGTCGAAAACATAGACCCAGAAAAAGCTAAGTTCATTGCTGATAGAGCTGAAAAGCACTTCGTGGGTACTAGAAGCATTAAATCTTTTAAAATGGACGGACAGTATGGAGAACAGTATAATAAAGACAATCACAGTAATATATCATTTAGAAATCCAGAAGAGTATGAGGAACGCAAATATTTAAAAGACAACCACAGTAATCAGTCATATCGCACTCGTAGTAGGCGGAAATCGAATAACTTTAATTACGAGAGTGAGGTTCTGAAACAAGCTTCTCTAAAATTAGAAGAATATTTAAAAGAAAATGAAGATACAAAGCCAGCAGATAAATTCAAAATTCTTGTGACTGCTCCAGTAGTTACTGATACTTTTGATGATAAGAAAGACGATAAAAACAAAAATAAAGAAGAGGAAGAAGAAGAAGAGGAAGTACCACTTTCCTTTTGTGAAAAAGTAGCACTGTTTTTTGATTTAGATCTCCTCAAAGATTTTACTTTCATAAATCTAATGTTGGGTGTGACCTTGGCAAGTTTTAATGAACTTAACTTTTCAATCTTAACTCCGTTTATTTTGGGTGATTTTGGATTGAGCAAACCTCAAGTTGCATTTTTCATGTCATTGTTAGCGGGTGTTGACATAACTGTCAGGTTTTGTGTGCCATTCGTCGCCGGGAAGATTGGATGGGATAATAATACATTCTTCCTCGTTGGGGTACTTTCTATGGCTATGGGGAGAGTTGGTCAGTTGATAAATAATCTGACTATAAATATGTTGAATTTAATTCCAGGATACTAAATATAAAATTTATCATTTTAGTATTGGCATATTGGCAGGATTATAGAGTAATCATCCTGGTGGCTTTCATCATTGGCTTTGGCAAAGGTCTTCGGACGGTATTCATGGCGCTAGTCATTCCTACTCATGTTCCTTTACATAAACTACCAGGGGCTTCTGGTCTACAACTGATGACAGCTGGAATAGTGTACCTCTCGTTAGGACCAGTAGTTGGTAAGATTGCTTTTTTGAGACTGTATGTTTCATATTATTTTTAGTGCAAAAAAACTATATCATTTATCTTTTAATTTCAGGTTGGATCAAAGACAATGCATCTACAGCGGTGACACTTCACTGCTTAAACATATTTACGTATTTAACGGCGATTTCCTGGGGTCTAGAAAAATACTTCATATCAAAAAGATTGAAAAACGAAGCTGAACTCACGAAAGTGTGACCTACAGACGGAACTGAATTTAGGGCGTTTTGAAATAGTCGAATAATTAATTTAAGTGAATAATGAACAAATAACCGAGCTCTACCCAATTATGTGAATGAATGTTGACAGAGTTCAAGCTGAGGTCGCTATACTGTCAGTAGTAATTTTATCTTTCGTTGGCTATGTCGCGATAATGTTTTATGCGTTTATACATTGTTTTGTTTGTTGTGTGTTGAAAATGTTTAATAAAGTGTTCTAAGTTTTTGCAAAGATGGTAGAAGATTTTTATTAAGAGAAAATCCTAGTCATTTGAGAAATTACAATCGATGTTACTGAAATTAAGCAAATTCCGTTGAAACAATTAGGAATTTGTTAAAAGTATCAGGCGCCTGCCGTAGAAATATGCTTAAATTCTCGTTTGTCGATTGGAAAATAAATTACTGAACCAATAATGTACCTTTATGATAGTAAAAAGTGAATATTGTGGTTATTTGAATTCCTATACTATAATGGTATATAGGAGTATTTTCGTCGAAATCCCTTAAAAGGATAAGTATCTATATTTTCTTCTGAAAAGCTACATATTTATCACATACAGTGATAATAGAGACTATTAGGTTATTTACTTGGTATCTAAATATAATATATAATTCATACGTCACCTCTATTTCACCTTTGCATTTGATAAAATTATCAATGATTTTAAAATTATTCCGTGTTAGAACCAAATATTACACATTACGGTAACCTGTTTCTTCGGCCTTATTTGTAATGAAAACTCAAGTAGAGACTTATAATACTTTAACTAAGAAATTGAATGAGTTTAGTTTAGCACTTCGTGTCGAGTACAATGTTTATTTACTTTTTTGATTACTTTCATCAATTACTTTAAAACTGTAACAACATAGTAATCGTGTGAACAAAATTCTAATATCAAACATAAAAATATTCATTAATAATATCTTTAATTTTCAATGGTATTCAAATCCTTGTGAATTATCAAAATTTCAAAGAAACGCGTCTTATATTTTATTGGTATTTTAAGCATTACTCTTTGTGTTTAGTTTTTTGGCCAATATCTTTCTTAGATAAGTGCTGAAAACAAAAAAACAAAGGTGTTCATTAGTTTTTCATAAGATGATTCTCAAGTGATCAAACACTTTACATGAAGATTTCATTATACAGCTGCTCTCAATTATTAAATGAATAAAACAAATAAAAATATTGTCTAACATTATAAATATGAAGTAATTTAAGAAGAACGGCATTTAACAATACATTGATTATAGAATACTGACGCGCGCTCTCACTCAATTCGTAGCTAAATAATCTGTTATTAGCAGACATTGAGTAAATATCTTTAGGGAACACGTTATTTGATAACAGCTACATTTCATTCGGTGCGATAATATACATTTGTCAGTGTTGTTCCCTTTATGCTTACATACGGCACTGAATTAGGCAATTCAACGTCAATTCATTGCTCAATATTTGTTTAGTTGATTTAGTGGTCTGGTCAGTGTATCAGTGAAAGTGAATTAAAGAGATCTTCATGAGATGTGACAAATTTCACGCCTAAGTCGAGTTTTGAGACGATGTCTCCATCTATGAACAAAGTGCCCCCTGAAGGGGGCTATGGATGGGTTGTCACTTTCGCCTATGCCTTGAACAATGTAAGGAATTTAAAATGCTAGTTTTAAAATTACTCAACTATTTAATTTAACAATCTTTTTTTATTGAGGTCACGTGTCGTCTCAACTTCTGGCCTTTAATGTCTATTCATAAAATATGAAATTACTTCCAAATAGAATTAAAGTAACACATTCTTGGTTTCTTTATGTTATATAGTATAAATAATGTATGTATATGTAGTGACAAACGAAAAAATGTGTATGCATGTACATATATTTTACTCCATAGAATACTTAATAAATTTAGTATTATTATCAAAACTAAATATTCATATTAAATTCTGGTAGATGTGAGGAAAATTTTATAATATTTTCTAAAAGTGTAATACGTATTTATTTGGTGTAATTAACCCAGAATAATGCGACAAACAAATGAAAGACTATTTCGATTTACATGTATGTATATCTTAGTCTTCATTAGGAGCACTGATTGTTGACCCCTAACAACATCGTTCAATTAAATCCATAGAATAAATCGATTACAATCAAACAATAACTAAATTATGACTATTCATATCTAGGTACATATAAAATCTTAAATTCTTATATGGTATTAGGTAATACCATAATAGTTAACTGTTGGTTGGCTTAAAATTAAAAAAAAAAACATTAAATGCTTCTTAAAACAGAAGTTTTATGATAGTATCTCAAGTTCCTCCCTCTCTCTGAGCTCTTATATTTGTTTTATTTTTTATTTTATTATTATTTTTGAAAAATTCAAACTAGACATCATTGGATACGTACATACATATGTACATACAAAAGTATTGAATCTGTTAAATATCAATTTAACAACAGTATAAAGTTATAAAATTAATGTGCTATAAAAATTTAAAACGTATCCACAAGTTTTATGTACGAATTTATTCATTATTAAACAAATAATATACGAAATGTATTTTGTTTTAGGTAGTTGTCCTTCCTTTAATTGCCGGTTTTGGTTTAATTTTTCAAGAAGCGTTTGACGAGACAGGTCTATCTGCGACACAAGGGACTCTAGTCATTATTCTAAACCATGGGTTCGGTATGCTTCTGTCATTCTTTGGTGGCCCTGTCCTACGACGTTTTGGATACAGAAAAGTGGCAGTCGTCGGTGCTTTATTGATTACATCCGGGCTTATTATAACCTCTATTGCCAGTAACTTCTGGCTATTCATATTTTCTTACAGCATAATAAACTGTACGTACTTTATTAATTATTATGTATTCATAAACAATTTAAGCTTACGGGTTAATTTTATTCATATTTTGTATTCTGGTACAGCTATGGGAGTTGCAGCAGTCATGGCAGCCTTTTCTTTAGCAATAAATTCATTCTTTAAAGAGAAAAGAGGTCGTGCAATAGGTGTTGGCATGTCAATTACAGGTCTTGGAACAATATATATGCCACTTCTTATGAGTTTGCTTATGAATACCTACGGCTGGAGGTACGCTGTACTTATTTTAGGAGGTATATGCTTGCATTCATTATTAGGAGCGTGTTTACTTAGACCGGCAAAATGGTACTTAAAAGATCCACCTCAAGATGAAGCAATGACACCTTTAAACGTTGAAGTTGATTCAAATCATGTTGATCAGATAAGCGCTGAACCATTTAGATCCTCAGGTAATTTTTGCGATAGATATATTTAATAAAAAACAATCTTAAACATTTTTAAAGCAAATGACAAATGTTTTTTTTATATAACTCGTAATAATTTTTAGATGCGGAATTATCAAGACATTTAGAAGAAAATATAAAAAACGGTATGGCAAAAAGTGCTTCAATCAGATCTTTATCAACTTCAAATGGTCCTCACACAAGAAACGCTGTTTCTCATCCAGATATAAGAAAAGTAGATTCAGATCCGCCTCTAGCTGCTTCAAGATATAAATGGTGGGAATCTCAAGAAATTAATTTGAGCAGCTCTATTAACATATTTAAAGAAATCGATCAGCCCCGAAAAAAAGAGATCGACTTTAATGAGTATATAAAAGAAAAAGAGGGTATAAAAAAGACTATGGCCCAAAGATTTGTAGATTTCTTTGACCTTACTCTCCTTAGAGATCCTATATTCGTTAATATACTTCTTGGATTGTCCATTGCCTCTTGTGTGGAGACAAATTTTTCTCTGTTGTTGCCAATTATCATGAAAGATATGTTGAAATTCGATACTTCTGATATTGCGAAAATAATGGCAGTAGTTGGATTCTCTGATACAGTATTTAGACTGGTCTCCCCGTTTATAGGAGAATGGTGCAATAAACCTCCAAGGATCATGTATTTGGTTAGCTTGCTCATAATCATCTTTACAAGAACAAGTAAGTAATAACATTATTAGAAATACATTCAGTTAATGATTTTGGCATTTAATATTTAAGTATTCCAAGTGGCAATACTATTTACACAACCAATACATTTTGAATTTTTATATTTTTTATAACCCGAAGATTATTTCGTCTCCAGTGTAATAAACCAATTGATCTGTTAGTACTTTAATCAAAGTGCCTATATAATTGCAGACTTAAATGTTTAATATGTCAATCTAAAACCTGGATATTTTTAATTTTTGATCATATAACAATGTCAATTACATATAAAAGCATTCTTATGAAAACATTAAAATCATTTGTATGTGTTTGTGTAAGCTTGTAAACATGTACTAATCACATTAATTGAAATATCGGTATTTTGAAACATAAAATTCATAAATAATATTCCTGATAGAATTGATTGTTCATAGCGTATATTTCATTTCATTTTCCTTTTCATGATTTTTACGTTATATACGTGCAAAATAGCAGCTAAGATTACAAGATCCACATTATTTTTGATAAGATAACAATAATTACAACTTTATGACTAAAACAGTTACAAAATTATATAGCAAGGCTATCAGTAACCTATTTACAAATATAAATTAATTTTAGATATATCATTAAAACCAATCGAACACAAACACTTATTCATAATAGTGTTATTATTTCAGTAATGTTATTCACAACATCTTTTAGCGGTATGTTACTAGTTGCTCTCGCTATGGGAGTGACCAAAGGCGTCAGAACTGTGTATATGAATATTATTATACCAAGTTACGTGCCTTTAGAACGACTGCCTTTCGCTTCCGGCATTCAGATGTTCATCAATGGAATTATAATCATAACTATCGGATCACTTCTAGGTGTGTATACCTCCAATATATATGGAGATGAGAAGATGAAATACAATTAAATGGCAATGACAAAAGTTGATTTTACATTACCAACAAATATAAAAGTGTTACATTACAGTTACATGTAAAAATGTTAAGATCACAAATATTACGCAATAAAATTTATCAATTCACGAAAAGCAACACATTGATAGTAAATTGCATTCAATCCATGTATGTCTAACTTTGAATATCTCGTTACTATGTAGTTTTGTCCTTCTTATCATACCAATGAATAAAAAATATCAATTTAATTAAATTGATATAAAAAATATTATCACTTACTGAAATCCCCAAGATATCTCTCGTCATTATAGAAAGAACAAAAGAATGTTTTTAAATAGTGATAATACCAACAATTCTATTTGTGGAATTTTTACATAAAACCTATTAATATTGGACTGTTAGTATTAAATTTTGACCAATTTTAAGTTTACTCCTAGTTTTTACTTACCCACTTTTTTAAATGTACTCGTTTTAATATTTCAGGTCGGATACGTGACTTGTCAGGATCCTACAGAATACCGATAACAGTTTTGAACATCGTGACGATGCTTACAGTAGTTTTGTGGAGCGCTGAGTTCTTGTACTCCAAGCTGAAGAATAAAAATAACGAGCAATCTTCTTAATACATTTATTAAAGATATATATTCATGAACGTTCCTAATTGCGAAAGCAAGCATCACTTATATCTTGTAAGGTTCTTGTGTTCATACCTTAAGTTGTACATATAGTAGATATTACATTATACGACTTACGAACTAAGTATTTACAAATGTTTATTTACAAAATTTTATCTTTAGTATAGGAATTTTAATGGCTAATTACATTTTGGATACCAAATGGTAATAACCTTCAAATGTCACAGTATGATAAAATTAAACAAAAAGGTTACAAATAGCCTAATTTGGTGTACAAATTAAAATTAATACAAAATAGGTAGATTTCACAACAACGCAGCCTTATGTCCTTTAAATTTTGCGCACGCATTAAAGAAGAGATTACTAAATATATTAGAGAATTTTATTAAATATTAATTATCATCAGTCTGTTCTTGATATTGTGTCACCCCTACTATCACATTATTTCACTTAATACAACTAAGTATCCTTCGCAGTTACGGGAATCTGAAATAAAGAATAAAATTAGAATATTCTTGTAAAATATATCACAATAATTAAAAAAAATCTTCAAACGAATGTGTTATATAATCAATTGTTTACGTATTCGTTGAGTTCGTTAAAATCTTCGTAAACATTAATTAAACTTGTAAAGCATTGACAAAAAAAACTACATCCAAGTTTATTTTAAAATCATCAACATTTTGAACATCGTCAAATTTGGACCATGAAGGATAATTATTTGTTAATAGAAATCTCATACCAGATCAGATTCATCTTCAACCGAAGTATTTCCTTGCTCCCTTTCATTTCCTAAATTGTTTACTGTAACAGAAAACGTTGTTACTAATTACTTATATTAAAATGAAAAGTACAATCTTAAAAAAAATATTAACATACTTCTTCGGTGCCAGCCACTGGAATAACCGTATGGTGAATCAAGTTTTTCGAAGTCGATGGCATCAGAAGTAAAACCATATAAAGGTCTATTAAAGAATCTAGGTGACTTGAATGGTAAATCATCTGTATCTATGGTATCTTCAGTGTCTTGGTCTTCAGATATTTTGTCTTGATTCGTTTCTTTCGTTACATTTTCTCTCCATGGTTTCGAAGTCACAACATACACTTTTTCGTTCGTCAGAGGAGATATTGATGTCTGTATTTTCTCCCATGGTGCAGCAGTGGTTGTGCTTGTTGTACTCCTAAAATTTGATGGGACTGTGTAAATGTTAAATCCTTTTTTTAATCCATTTTCTTCATTTTTGGCACTGTAGTGAACATTTTTATTTTTTTCTAATGTATTGTAATCATTACGATTGATAGCGAATATGTTAGTTTTATTATCCGTTATTGCATGTTGTATACTACTTGAACCCTCATGATCAAATAAATCGTAATTGTCGCCATTCATGTCTGTTACATAACTGGTTACAGGATTAATCGTTGTAAAGTACTCATCGGGTATTTGTTTCGCATATTTTTCACCAGATCGTGATCTTTGCGAACTTCCGTAAAGATTAGAATATTCTTGCTCAGTCCAATCATCTATCGTATGTTGAAGCTTTATTATATCAAATGGTGGCTCTTTGCCTTCATGCATATTATTACTTTTAGCTGTATTATATTGTTCCTCACTAGTTAACACAGATTCCTCTGTCACTGTATTTAGGTTAGTATAACCTTCCGTTGCAACAGTTTCAAAATAGTTCTCAGTGTTATCATGAATTTTTCTTGCTTGATATTCTTTTTCAGTATTTAACACCCACTTTTGTTGATGTGGTAACATATTCTCATTTTTATCGTGCCTTTTGTCAGTGGTATAGGGAACAATAATTTGGATAATTTTAGATCTGCCTCCATTTTCCTGACCAACAATAGAGGACGATTCCTTATTAATAGAATGTTTCTGTTCATCCCAGGAAGAAGTGACAGTGGGTAGTTCAGGAGAAGGTGTTGTTGGATTTTCATCATAAATTTCATAATCTGCTCCCTTCTCTGTAGTTGATGTCGTAAATCCAAAATTTTTGTAATTTTTGTGTGGTGCACTCGGTTTTAAATATAACAAAGGTGAATCTATATACTGGAGATTACTTTCAGTACGATATTTGTCCACGTCTTCATCTTTAACGCCCCGTAAATCAGCGAAACTAACTTTATGGTTGTACGGAAAGTCGGGTGACTGTATAATTTCCAGTGGAATACCAGCATCATATAAATCGTTGTTAAGATCAGGACCAATACTTTCAAAACTGGCTTCTTGTTTTGATTTTGATATGTGTGTGTGATCTTCGGAAGCTTGAGGGGATATATCACGAACTTCATCTATAACATAACTATTTTCTATATTTCTGTAGCCTTTACTGTTGTTTATTTTTTTTAAGGCGTCTATATCTATTACAGGGGATTGAATAATTGTTGTTGGATATTCTAAATGAGTATATTCTGCAATGGGAACACTTTTATCGATGTTTAAATTATTTGAAATGAGATTGTCTTGTATGACATTATATGGATATTTTATAGGAAGTGGCCGGAATGGGCGTGCATTAAATATTGGAGGAAGTGGTGACACGCTCAAATTGGGTAATGCTACTGGTTGTAAGGTGTGAATATTCCTTCCTCTATTTAAACTGAATGGTGCTGGATTTGCCAAGGCTAGTGAAACATTTGAAATATTAGATTTAATTGTTTCACTAGGATGAATTTCACTATTAATTTTTATTGATTCGGCAGCGGATGCTGGGATATCTAGAGCATAAGAATTAACGATTGGTTCCCCATACGAGTTTTTGAATCCGGTGGGGTTTGAAACTTTTGGTAATTGTTGTTCTAAAGTTGGATTCAACTGTCTTATGTTATTTATATGATTCTGATTAGGTCCATTTTTAATCAAAAATTCTGATTTGTATGTCGAGGTAATTGGGAATTGTGTTGTAGAAGTAAACTTATTCTCATGAATGATAGATGTAGATATATATGAAGAAGGAATAGGTTTATAAGTTGACCCAAGTGTATAAGATGAACTGGGTAAATAGGATGAAGAGGGAAAATTAGAAACACTTGGTAGGTCGTACAGAGAACTGCTAGATATAGGATAGGGGGTGTTTAAAGGATTTTCGTTTATAACGGGAACAATATGGGTCGGACTTGGTGGTCCGTATGTAGAACTCGGTGATTTGAAATATTTATTATGTGACACGGGTGGTAGATCATATATGGTATGAGGTGTAACTGTGGGATTCAAGTTAGGATTTTGGGACTGTAAGGGTTGCGGGACACTATTAATCGTATTCAAATCAGAAATACTTGATATATGCGGTGATCCGTAAGAAGGGTTGATATTTTGACGTTCCTTTCCAGAATCTAAATCATATCTTATTACAGGTAACCATGGCACAGCATTACAGGGGTTGCAATCCTTTTTTAATGGAGCTACATTTATTGGTGACTCTGAACCAGAAACTTGTTGAGATGAAAAGAGCCATCCTGATAGTTTTTGGAATATGGTAGGCGATAAAGTCGTTGTAAAAGGTTGTGGAGGAGGAACAAAGTTGAAATTATACTGCTTATAAAAAGGAGCTGGGAAATTAAATTTGGCTGGAGTAATCGTAGGCGGTGGTAATGATGGTGGAGGAGGTTGGTATAAATAGCCCAGATCATTATTGTGTCGTTGTAATCTTTCAGCTCCTCCGTGAAATGGTACTGGCGCTATTGGCAGCGGCGGTGGTGGTGGTGGTCTCAATACATCGCCAAAATTTGATGCAGCATTTCCATTATTATAATTGTGTCCATTAGTGGGTTCACATTTACATGAAGGTAGTAATGCTATGAGAAGAACCGGAAGTATCTGAAAAAACACAAGATAATTATTGACTTTTTTTAAATAAAGTTATCATAAAAAGTTAAATCGAAAACATGTAATAAAAAAATAGCACACATTTATTAAGTCAAGAAATGCTGTCTTTTTAGATATTTATTTCAGTTGTAAAAAAAGAAAATCTATACATAATTTAATCTTATATGAAGCTGAGCGTATGGTTCAAACAATGTTTCATAGTAAAATTTTCATTTAAGATTTTCCAAGAAATATAAAAGATAACCAATTATTAAGTATGATCGTTATAATAGCTGTTATTTTGTAATTAGTTAGAAAATTGTGAGGCAAACATTATTGCTATTGTATTAGATTCACACGAACTAGAATTCTTTTGCACTTTTCTCTTTTTACTTTGAACTTAAATCATATAGAGAATCATTGCTTAGTTGTTACAAGAATAATTAATATTTTTGTATATTACTGAAATTTTAGAAAAAAAATCATTTACTTTTAAACTATAATAATCGCAGATGCACAATTTTAATGTATTATTTTACTAACATAACACAATGTACAAATAAGGATAATATTATTTTGTTAATATATATTTGAAGAGAAATAGCTTTCAATGCATTTAATATGTAGATCGCATCTTTCAAATAAACGATTCGTTCCTCGTAACTTGAACATATTGCGAAACAGCTAATACATTATTGAAATGCCTTTAAATCTACTCAATAAACAACGCGTCACACGAAATATTTCACAATTTTGAACGTAGGTACTGCATATAAATTTATTATTAAACTGCGAAAGTAAAATTCCATCATTAGCATTTTACGTTTCTCTTAGGTAGAAGTAACAAAACTTTTTTACGGTCTAGATTCGGTAAGTCGCTAGTGGTCATCCTGGTAATGCATAGTCTGGGGTAACCACTTAACATCAGGCTCGCAAGCATTTTTGTCACTGACGATGTATAAAGAAATATTATATGAATAAAATAATTAAGGTTTTCCTCTTTTTGAGAGATAATATAACATCTACTTTAAGGACAATTTTTCTATTCATTTTAATTTAAACTATGCATCTTAAAATGTAAACTTGCGTACCTATATGATTCTCAATTATTGTTGAAAAAAGTATTGCAAATGAAATTTCTGTATCTATTTAACGAAAGGGAATGTGAAATATTATCTATTTTTTTAAATATATAGCATGTGTTCATAATAAAGTAAAACTACATGTGTTACAATTTAATTATAAAATAAACAAACATTGACTATGACAGTATCATGCTTGTCGGTTAACAGAGGCGTACTTTATCTCTTCACGTTGACATTACCTACATATGGTGTGTTAATAACACAGAAATGTTCGGAATCTTTATTTATTTATATTGTAACGCACAATTCCGAAACTTTTTAAATCCTTTTCCACGTTGAAACTATAATTGTCTCAAATTTCATAATCACCGGGATATATATTAAATATATATGAAAATTTTGCAATATACACCCAATAAAATTATGTGATATCTTAAATTTGAATACGTATATTTTAGTTAAATAAGGAAATAAAATGTTTGTTCCTCAAACATTAGGTAACGCTAACGTCCAATTAAAATTCTTACAAAAAAAAAACCATTTTTTTTCCATTAGATAAAACACTTTACAAAAAAAGCAATTTTAATTAAATTTAAAATAATTGCTTCAGTGAATTAATTCGATGATTTTTTTTTGCTTTGTATATACATTTTTGCCATTATATAAATTGATTATAACATTAATTTCACATTAAAAACTCTTTGACAAAAGTAGATGGCAAAATTAATTTATTCTAACGAAATGTCGAATTAACAACTAAAACCGCAGCCATTTTACTGAGTGTTATACTTTTAAATAAGGTCGACATTATCAGCTCTTTAAACAGGGATTTAGTCACGCTAAACTGTTAACAAAACCACATACCACTACCTAAGGCCTATAAATAACAAAGGATAACACAACTCACAGTTTTCCCTATATAGACTTGAAAAAATACATTCGTAGTTCCCACGTATTTTAAAAAGTAAAATTGAATAAAAAAGAAGGTAAGTAACGCTTTAAGGACCAACAAATTTTTTATGTTTTTATATACATTAGACACTTTGAATTTTCATCAATTTTATTCGCCTTTTCCTGTATAACTTCTAATGATTTATGACTTACACGGTTTTGCCAGAGACTTTCCCTATGGACTTCAGAATTGGACTCAAATAAATGTGTAAATGTAAATTTAAAAAATGTATAAATATAGTGTTTTAACTAGGAATAACTAGGAATTTTTAACTAACTCGAGACACGTAACTTCTGGCACAATACAACTATTATGCTGTGATCCAACGATAAATTGTAGTTTATCACTTATTTTGATACCTAAGTGACATTACTGTAAAGTTTTATCAGCATCCGTTACATAGTTTTTGCGTCAAACAGCAACAAGCATCTATACATGCATGCCCATAAACATTCGCATTGTAATTTTAGTATTAACATCAAATACAATATTAAGTAAGTAACAAAATATATTTCTAAAAAATAACGAGATACGGGAAGGTCTTTTAAATATAGAAAACATCAAACCAGGCACATATAGCTATAAAAACTTAATGGTCCGGAATAAATGATACTACGAAATAGTTATCTTTTAAGATAATAATTTTGTAAGCTTAATGGTTGCCCGAATTTCACCCACCTTCTGAGAAAACTTATTTTAAAGATTCATTCTTAAAACAAATATCACGGATTTTTTTTTAAACTTATGTAATTAATACGCGGCTTTAAATATAATACTTTTCAAAAGTTCTTAAATTAGGTTTCCGAAAAAAAAAACATTGTTTTTTATGTATCTTAAAGCTCTATTAAGTATTAATTGTATTACTGTTTAATGATAAAAGCTAAAATGTTTTACAATTTATTATAAATAATTAAAACCAAGAATTAATAATAATAAAAAAATGAAAACAGTCTTGATATGTACCCATCATACTTTTTTTCGATTTCCCAATAATTCGCTACTGTAATATCATAGGTTATTAGTGAACATCGAATAAATAAAATTTTGGATGGTTTACATGTATTGTGTATTTTTTTATGATAAAATTAAATTCTTACTGTAGTCATTACAAAGTCACAATGTGTACTAAATTGCTGATTAGTGAAGTATTTTTATTTTAATAATAGCTTGATATTAGAATTCAAGTTAAAATTCATTTAAAGTATGTTTAATTTTATATGAAACTTAAATGAAAAGTATTTTAAAATTTTCATTTATGGAATCACGACGCAAACTAAAAAAAAAACCTTACTAGTTTCATCTTTAACAATTAATTTTTGTTTGATAATTGAATAAGAGATATATTTATTTATTTTGTCATCATGAATCCAGATATTTTTAACCAAAAATTTATAAGTTTAAATTACAAAAGAAAAAGTACCTACGCCTTACACTATTGTTTAATGTGTCGGTCATAAACAATTTAATACATACTAATAATCATAGTAACAATTTTATGACAATTAAATCTGAAAATAGGAATCATATTTAAAAGAAACATATAATTTTTATATGTAACAAAATTTAACGATATAATATAAATTAATGTTAACAATTTCATATATTTAAATCCAATGAAAGAAATGTTAATATGCAAATTACTAAATACTAATAAAGCAAGATGCTTAACTTGAAGATATATGCATAAAAGCTTAGATACCTTTTCCTTAACAATTTGATAATTCTGACAAGAAATAAATAATTTAAAAGCGTTTTTGTCATGGTTTCTAGAACATAAAAAACTAAATGCCAAAAGTGAAGAAACGAATGGCCATATTACGTTTAATGGGGTGTCATTAGTTGCATGTAAGAATCTGAGACGACCGAAGGGTGAAAGGTTCATTCTTATAATAGTCTCATCATAGTTACAAGATATAAAATGGAAAGCAGATATAAAAGCAACATTAAAGGAATTATTACGGAACTGGAAAAATTGCCAATGGATTATCGTAAAATATTTTGCATAAGAATGGTAACTAACATTTTATTAATTATGTATATGGAAACATGTTTATCCTACGTATATATACCAAATTATTTAAGTCCTTTAACTTAATTATTTAACATTTGAGAATACAGATTTAATATGAAAAGTAATTTTACTTACATTTCTATTTATATACATATTTTAATTACTTATTTTTTACAAAATTTAAATTTCACTTTGGTTGATTAAAACGATAAAATGAACTAGGTACTCGTAAATGGAAAAGTGTATTGTGAGACTTAATCATTTCAATGATAACGTTACGTTGATATATATACATAATTGTGATGCACACTTGATATTTAGACTAAAAGTTACAAACCACATAATAATATATGTATTTTATTAAAAAATAAATTTTAAAAAAATATTATATACAAACAACTCATATAACTAATATTTTATTACATAAACTTAATATCAAAATGTTTTAACATTTCGTGTTTGATACTTATTTTTTCAGTCAGTCATAATAACGTTAAAATAGATGAAGGCATATTAATGTAATTTAAGAAGGAATTCTCGTGATCTATGATCTTCGAAAAACAACAATAATCCCGTGAGATGGCTTGGTGCCTCGGTGACTGTGAGAAAGAGCTTTCACAGACTTCAACATTCTCATATAAAACAATTGTTTAAAACAAAGCAGTTTTAAACGAACGATATTGTCTTGTAGTCGTGACGATGGCAATGATCGACACACGTTTTGCGGACACTCCATTGATTTCATTGACTGTTTTTGGATTTATACTCTGATTTCACTTTTATTACTCCAAAATTGTAAAACAAAGATATCGTTGTCCCAAATTTGTCATGAAATATTTTTATGGTCATCGAATTAAAAAATAAATGTGTTATAAAAAACAGCCACGGTTGTGATCTAGAGAAGAAATTCCGTCGTAATATTTCCCGGACAGTAAAATCTTTAGCCTACTTGGTCCGAAATTGAAAGTGATCACGCAAGCGGCAAACCTCTTTTGTTTATATTTTGTTCATTAACACTTTAATTTAATATTCTTATTGATTTAATTACATAGTTTGAACATGTGTATAAATTCTAAATAAATTAAATAATCTCTTTTATATACACAACATAATTAGAAGACAAACTTGCGGATATGGATTACTTGTCATTATAAAATGTACGCCAATTCCGTACATACATTAAATAATAATGATAACTTGGCACGCATCTTTAAATTATAAACTTCATGTTTAGAACAACATCGATTTTACTAGCCGACTACAAAATGAGTCTAATTTTCAAACAGAATATGAATGTAGGTTTGTTCTGATTTCATTTTGACATTGGTTATTTAATATTCAGCAAAATTTCACCCATCAGTGTCAAAATACAATCATTTGAATTTCTTTAAGGAAATGTCAAATCATCTCAGACTTTCGTTATTATGTAAAATCCATTAAATCCGTTGGTTAAAGCTTGGGCCTATTAGTTGGCCTAAATGTATTAAAAAAAATCGCAAATATCTTGAGATTAGTTCGTTTACAATGCATTCGCATAGTCACACTTAATATGAAGTTATCCGTTTCTCATTCAATAACCTACTTTAATAATGTAATGTGTGAAGATTTATGAATGAATAAGAACGGAATGGAAACGTTTCGTAAGTAGTGTGATTTATGGAAATCATACAGCACTAAGTTAAATAGTTTAATAAGAAAGTGACTTCAAAGTGATATACTTTATTTGTCACATAACTGTCAATACTTATGATAATTTTGCCGTGATTGTGTAACTTTATTTATATTAACAAACACCGTAAATGATCTTCTTAGATAAAATAAAGTATTCTTCCGCATCAAGGACCATTACAAATGTTTCTATAAAATTAAAGATTATAGAACAAAGCACAAAA